TTACAAAACCCCTTAAAACAGTGCTTTTTTATGCTCGTAGCTAAATCTAAAGTCTGGTAGCAATTCTGCTTTACATCCTACGATGCTGATCAAACTAATACAACATTAGAGTTACATACTTACCTACGTTTATAACTTCTGCCTGAGAACAAATCCATGGTAGGTACATCATTTTCATTAATTAAAGTAATAACCATCCTATTCGTAATGGGTACACGGAGACAAAACGAAGGAACACTGTAAGTAGCTCCCATTTTAATAGACCACCGGTGCCCCCGAATAATGTCGGCTGTAGCTTTTATAAGGTTCATGCCATCTCTTTGTTCCCAGGAGTGGAGCGAGATGTATTTAGAATAGATAGTTGGGGTACTTTAGAGTATTATCATTGTCTCAACCCCTTTAATTTATGTTGCGGTTAACCTCAGTAGTGGACTCTATTCAATTCTGAGCTTAGGTAGGTACAATTCGAGTGTTTTAACCACCGTGGCACCGAAGAATTTAGGAGATAATATCGTATGCCAAAGAAGTTTGTAAATTGTTTTATTGTAAATTGTAATACTGGACCAGTATCTTCCATCAGCTACCCTATTTCAACGTGACATAGGTACGGGTAATTTTCGGCGGTTTTACGCCAAATTAGGGTGTCGTAGTTAATATACTGGCGGACCCTTTTCATGAGAGAGCCTATACTGCCTATTTCGTTTAATTTTTATAACTTTTTTATTGTTTGCATTTCCAGTGTGTCCTACCCGGCTTATATTTTTTAATGTATTTTAGCATTCGTAATATAGTACCTACCTTATTAAGTGTTACTGAATGAATACCTACTGAAAAATTATGATCACATCTTAATAAAACATTTGAATTTTGAATTTTAATATCTTTAGTATTGCTCTTGCTCATTGATAGTCCGATGATAAGTATTTTTTCCCTTCTATGATCTGAGGTATTTTTATGCATTAAGATTTATATCAAACGTAATTGTATATGTCACTAGTTCCGAGCAAAACACATGCGATTTCGATTGCCATAGCTTAGTTTTAGTAAATAACAGATGAAGATTTATTTTAAAACCAAATAACAAAGGACGTCTCCCAATAATCCCGACCTTTTTATAAATACAGGTCAAAAGGTTAGCGGCCGATTGATCTCTTTTTACCGCTTCACTGGGTTATGCCAATTTACGTAACGTAGTACCTATAGTATTTTTGTCTTAACTCGAAAATAGACTACAATGGCGGGCGAAATATATAAATTCAGTTGTTAGTGATTTTATTTCAATTCTGAAGATTGGGTTTTGAATAGCCCACGCTGTATTTTTCCGTTTCCTCGGCAAACTTCCAAATTCTTCTGCTTGACTGATGACTAAGATCAACTAAAACTGATCTAACGTCGTTCTAGTCTCGAGTGAATTTTCTTTACGACCTTTTAAAAATATGGCCAATAAATAACAGAGTCCCGAAAGAAAGTTCAAGAGGCCTTGACGTCATATCTGTATCAAAGTATCCACTTGAAAATTTGGAGTTAACAAACAATGACGACGTCGGCATTTTTCGCTAGGTTATCTTTAATTCATCATTCAAAGGTTGTACTTAATAGCTTTCGTGACCTTTAGCAACCCTTATGTCAGGAAGCCTCGGCGCAAACACTGTTATTTAAGTTGGTCAATCCCTACTTAATAACGGGGATCTGAGTCAAATTAGGGTTTCGCATTTAATTTTGAATGACTATAATTCTCCCTCTGGTGGTGTCACTGGTGTTTTGTCCATTAATGGTGCCACTATGAATTGATTCAGTCTTTCATAACTGTAAATAATGATGCATAAAACAATAAATTGTCAATATCTCTGTTAAAAATTGTACTCTCATTATGATCACCACGACGCAGACATCGAGAACGATATGTATCGCATCAAAAGCTAATAATAACGTCTCTAAAATTAACAAAATAAACATATCCACAAAGTATGATCTTATCTGGTCCAATACGATTTCGTATTCTATAAAACTGTCGCCAAAGAGAATTATATTTTAATCCCATTTGTTGAGATTATCTCGCAATCTCGAGATCTTGGTATCTACCGCCCCGCCACAATCTTCTGTTCTTACTGAGATTTTAAGGCTTAAGAGTCACCCGTAAGCTCGCATTTTTTACAGTCTTTTTATTGTACAGTTGCTAGTACGAGTACAGCGGGCTTTATTCGTGTTGGTAAATCGCACCTATCACAACACACATATGATGCCACAGTGATTGCTTTTTGAGTCATCGTCCGTACTAGTTTTGTTTTATTTTGAATTTCCTTCCAAATCCGTAAACGAAACCGTATGGGATATAATTTATCCATTGAAAATGAGACTTTGTTAGCATTGTCTACTTGTTTCTATTGTTCGAGATTTCAAACAAAAGACTGAGTAAGTAATATTGCCCCATTTCATGACACTCGAAAACTGGGCTTTATAGTATTTGTATTCATTTTTAGTAAAAACGTACATTTTTTTAGGGTAATTGGTTTGAAGGGATATTTTACGAAGTAATTACGTGAGCTTAAAATAGGCCTAGAGGAATGGAATGGATTTAACATTTAATCATTCGGGCATCAAAACCTTCACTAAAAATGGAATTATCACAAAATAAGACATTCAAAACTTACAGAAGCCTCTTAATTTCAAGGTCTCATAAGCCAATTGTCTGTAACGGAAGATTAATTACTTTATTAAACAAACATTGAATGAAGAGCGCGGAGTGTGTCAGTGGAAAAGCATTTCATTTCAATAAACAAATACTCCAAAATTAAGATTGATTAACAAGCAGACTTGGTTTGCGTATTAGGAATAGTACATAATTAAAAGAAAAATGCATAGCAATATCACAATTTAATGGACAATAATTCAAAATTCATTATTAAATTTGGCTACAATTTGTAAATAGTGGAAATTGCTTTATGAAAAATAACTATTTAGATTAAGAGAGTAAATAAATTACAATAGCTAAATTTCAGTTATAATAAACTGTTTACATGCACACTTTGCAATTAGCTTAAAAAATGCGTTGTGATATCAATTATCGATCATTACAAATCGATTGTTTAGTTCAGTTCAACGTTACAATTTTTTTTCTTTAACTCAACAAACATAATACCATGTTCTCTATGTACATGAAGAACACTACACTACAGGAACTTTAATCTTTGTGTTCATATTCTAAAAGCTGCTATGACGACGACCTGAATAATACATACACAAGTGACAGAAGAGGTCAAATGTAGGATTTACGAACAAAAGGAACTTTATGTGATTCTAACATAATGTATCCACGCTTGAACTTTTAGTAACAAATTACTTATGGTTCGAAAGGTAGTGAAGAATATGTATCAGCTCTTAACAATGATAAATATTTCACATTTACCTACGTGATGTTGCGTGCGTGCGTAATTCTAGAACATTTCACCGTGAAGCCTTCACATGTGTAATTCAAGAACATCCCTCTAAATTATGATTATGCGTTGGTAGACGCATGGTTAGTATGTTGGTAAACTTGATATGTTTGGTTAAAACCTAAAACTGTAACACATTTCGCTGAATTTAACATCTATTGTCTGTATTTAATATCTAAAAATCTAGTGAACCCAATCGATTTGTATTGTATCTGGCAATCTCAACTAGTCACCATACATTAATTGCAAAATGCCCAACACTGATGCTGAAACATTGGAATGCTTAATAATTGATTAGAGATATGTATCTGAAAATTGTACTACCGCTATAGGACTAGAAACACGCTATATTGTAATAAGAAATTTGAAAATATATTTCAATTGGATAAAATTTCTACGATCACTGAACGAAATATAATATTATTTTATAATAGTATAATACATTTATTTTAATTACTACATATTCAAAAGTTTAATAATATCATAGCACAATTTCTTATTAAGAGGTGCACCATCATAACTTGTATTAAGAAAAATATGCGTATTGTAATAATGATTAATTAATATGTATGATTAAATAGTCGATGTATTTCCCATCCCTGGATTGATGACAAGCTGTGAAGGTAAGATAAAGCAATCGAGATCGATCAATAGGAGACAGAGGTGGGTAACATCACGTACTTCGATTCCACGATAAATTAGATAAGTACATTTTAGTACATACATTTTATTAATAATTAGGTGAAAGTAAGTAACTGTTAAATGTTTGATTGTCTCTTAAATGTTCGATCTCAATATTATTGTGAGTGAGAATATATTTTCTACCATAATGGATCTATCAGGTAGTTACGTAGTATAGAAATTCTAAATAGAAATTTCAGTGTTATTGTTCCCATTCGTTAATTGTTCATTAATAAAAATCGTTATAGCAAATAAATTTATTCCTAATAGTTACAATGGCCAATCAGTTCTGTATAAAACTAAGTTTCTTCGTCTATAAAATTTGATTAAAATTGGCACCAATTTATAAAACTAATTCCAATATCAAAATATTTATATGTGTAAAATCTTTAATTCCATTTTGTTTAAAATCTCTATAAGTATTAGATAATAATTTGATAGTTTCAAGTCTAAGGTACTATTACCTAAATATGAATACATCACGATTATCTTTTGAAGACATTGAGAAAACTACAAACAGGTAATTATTTCATAGAAGAATTATTCTGCAATACAAATAAGCACAAAGATAAGGTATAGAATAGACTTATTCATACAAATATTAGGCATTTAGTTAAGATAGAGAGTACACCAAACATTGTAAGATTTAAAGACAAAAACAAATTCACACAAGATATTTATACACAATTAGCTAAATAATAGTAATAAATTGCCAAGCAAAATCCGGGGGATCCCCGATTTCCAATTCTTACATGTCGCTCTCCAGCAGGCCCGGCCTCTTCGGCGTCTCACAATCTATTAGTTCGATTTCGTCCTCCTTCGGGTTGTTGATCGTTTCGCCCATTACGTGCGCGTTTCCGTTGTGTTCATTGTTTTTCCTGTCGTCTTCCAAGCGTAGTATTTCAATTTGGACACCAGTTTCGTCTTTATCGACCGCCGTCCGGCTGGGGCGGCGGTCTAGCTCCTGTCAGGTGGCGTGGATATCGGCGTAATCGTCGTCCTGTAAACTCTTCTCGGCCAGTCGGAAACTCTCAAGGAACTCATTCAGGTCTACTAGGCCGTCCTTGTTGATGTCCATGAGGCGGCAAATGTCTACGAGCTGCTCTTGCGTCATCGGATTCGGCATGTACTTACCGAGCAGTTGGCAGGCTTCGGAAAATTCTTCCAACGTTATGTAACCTGTAAATTACGAATGTCCAGTAATTCTAAATTTCCATCATTATTTTAGTTTTGAGATATGATAGAGCTACTATTGATTGTTTAGCTTGATATGATTTAACAAATCGCTAATAAAAATATTAAATGAGAAACATAGAGGTAGTGCAACCCTTAGAAGTTTACACAAACTAAACCTCATCCATATTTATTGCTACCCATTTTTATAAGCTATTAAGTAAATTTTCGAGAAAATATATTGATCAGTGTATTATCTTGCTCTTTGCGATATTTTTGTTTATGCAAAACTCAATTAATGTAGAAGTTTTATTTACTCTTTGTTTTATTTATACTTTGAAAACATTCGTTTACGTACCGGAATTATCTTTGTCGAGAATTTTGAAAATGGCTTCCAAACTCCTCTTGTTTTTATACAGAGTTTCGACCACAGTTTGCGTGTCAGCTTTGCGTCCTATCTTCTGTAATAAACAAAACACATATGTAGAGAATTTAAACATTGGTTAAGGACTATATCAATTAAGTTTGCAGTCTAGACGCCTCAATTAAAACCTGGATTTACTCGTGAAGTAATTATAACAATGCTACCTTGGTTTTATTAGCTAGCCAGACAAAATTAACATAACAATAAAACGTTAACGTTAAGTACTTAAGTATCTGTGTTTTATAGCCTAATCTGTAATTTTATTCGCTCTCTACTTTGCAGGTGTGCACAGTTTAAAAATTATAAATTACTGACATACCCAAGTTTTCGTATTTTCCCAAATGGAAATAGAATGTCACGTGCAAAGCCATCGTGGCTTTTCATCATTTCAGTGCGAATTCCATCCGGAATTTACTGTTATTTAATAAGTTGTCTTTATATTGATTGATATTTATATTTTTAAACGAATTTGATTGAAATAAGGATGGTCTAATGAAGTATCTAATTATTTTGTAGTACGTAAGCGATCCAAGACGCATTTTCCGATGACTTCACGTATTGAATTCTAACAAGTAAACAGAACGGAATTTCCATAGTTCACTAATCTGCGCCAGGGGTGACCTCATTTGTTACAACGTACAATGTAGAAAGAAAAGACTTAGGGTAAACCAGAGAGTGATTGCCCACTGGTAGTGATTGCCCGCTTTAAGAATAATATTGTCAGGTGCTGACTTTGAATCACTCTAGTTATATTTGAATTTACTAAGTAGATGGCTCCGAGATCAATGTAGTTACAGTAGATTTAAAATTTACAATAGGAAGTCTAAAAAAACAGTTATGGCGGATTTTGTCAAGACGGGTGAAAATGTTACTCAAACTGGTAAAGACTTTAACAATTTTACTAAGGAGTTACTTGCTTAGAGGTTAAATTTTTTTTGCAAGTCACTTAATATTCAACTAATGGTGTATAGTCATGATGAAATTATAAGTGTTTTCTCCATTATCAATGAAAATAACTGATAAAATTTGATTTCTAACAGTCATTTTAACGGTGGGTAATCACTGCACGTAAATCTGTATATTTTTAGTTATTGCCCACCATCATTTCAGTTATTGCCATATGTTAATGTATAGTTATTGCCCAGAGTAATTATTATTAGAGTGTTGCCACCATGCAGTAGCAGTGTTTAAGTTGCTCATTGCTAGACTTGTTTTGCAATTTACAGGCATAAATATTAAAATGGCTTTAATTAATGTTTCATTTTCAGTATGCCAAAGACTCCAAAAGTTCAATATAGCATGGAAAATTTGCAAAAAGCGATCAAAGCTGTACAAGATGTATCCAACAATTTATCTACAAGATAAATTGCTGAAAAATATGGTTTGGCTTGAAAAAATTTATAAAAATTCAAACGCAAATACAAAAAATGAAAATCCTACCTTAAATCTACTAGTGAAAATGTTAATTGTAAGGAAATAGATACACCTTTAGGGAAGAATAACCAACAGCTAATTGAACATTCTGAGCAACCACTTGAACTGATATCAAAGAAGATAAAAAAATAAATACATATAAAATTTACATATAAAATTCAAATTTTTGCGTCATCTATGGTTTGAAGTAGAGATGATTCTGTCTCTACCGATTCTGACTCATCAACATCAGCTCAAGAAATATTTGATAATATGTTAATAAGGCCAAACGTAATTTATTTTGATGAAGACTGTACTACTAGAATTTAAGTTTGATGTTTTGTTTTGTTTATTTAAAGCCTATTTTGTCATTTTAAAATTGATTATTTTGTTTTAAGATACTGGGCAATTACTGTGCTTTGATGCGGGCAATTAGTGTAAGTAATGGGCAATAACTGTACTTTTTGGAGGATTTTAAATTTATTTCAATATTTTCTAAGTTACGTAAGTTTTAACTAAAAACTGTTAATATTCTGTTTAACAGTTTATTGAGTTATAAGAAAAAAGTCATAAATGGTCGATAATTAAAATACTTTCTTTAATTTTTCATCGCAATGTGTTTGAAATCTTTAAGTGGGCAATAGCTATACGGTTTACCCTAATTGGATTTAATTGGCGACCAATTGGTAACTAATGTAGTGGGTTCATGGTTAGTAGTTAGGGTTAATTCCTAATTTAAAGAAGGTGTAGGTAGTCATTACGCTTGCACTAGGAACTAGGTTGGAGCCAGGTTCCCAGGTACAAAGTGCAAATGAGGAATTAAGGTTTTGATAAATAAAGAAGAGGTATGAGGGTGGGACCGTGTATTTTAGGGGAGTGACAGATATAAACAACAAAATACAGAAGTATATTCAAATAAGTAATTTTTAAAGTTTAGTTTATTCATAATTATTCATAGTTTTTAAGTAATACGGTAATACGTTTTTTGTAAATGTGTCATAATAATTTTCCTAATTAAATAAACTATCAGACGAATATGTTATAAAATAGAATATCCATTATCCATACAGCTAGCAGGTTTCCACACTCACATTATCGAAGGTGTCCATGTACCGGACACGACGCGTGTCGGGGTCCGTGCGCACCAGCTTGTCTTTCAGCATTCGCCAGGGAAGCCCTAGGTGCGTCGTCTCCTCCATGGCCTGGCACCAGTCGCTTATTGAGATATAACCTAAGGAATATGATAGCATTTGTCAGAATTTTACCTGTTTTGTACAGAAGACAGCACATGAGACTACACATTTTCGTAGCAAATTCGTCCCATTTTCGTGGTAATACCACTATATGTAATAAATTCTATGTGCTCCGGCCATTATCGAGAGAGGAGAGTACTGGCGCTCTGTAGTACAGGCTTCTCGCCTAGTTCAGACTCCAGTTCTCTCACAATCTTACCCTGTTCAATTAGTACATAGCAATTTGTGTTTCACTGTAATAATGGATTGTGAAAGAAAGAAATAAATGCTTTTTATTATTATTATTATGTATAAGAAGCTACTATGTTTACCTTGATGTGCTGTCGTATGTGCTAGTTATGTTGGTAGCAAATCATACTACATAAAAATATAGCTGGACATTTTTTGTTCAGTGTTATGTTTCAAATTACAAAACAAACGATAATAAGAGATTCAAATATGTAAACAAGTTATAAACTCCATTAGTTTTCCTCTAATTAATGTATTATCTGTAAAGTGTTCCCTCGGATATAATCTGGTTTAGGCGAACAAGACACGAAAGCAACATAATGTGAATGCAATTACGCGTCAAAGAAAACGTTTAAAAAGCTTTTTACGACATGTTCTTGTTCATACAACATCAAAGATTTCTTTCTTTAATGAAATCACGTGAAATCTATTGTTGAAGCAGCTATTGAACTCGGGTATAAGCGTCGGGACGTAATTTACACTTGCAAAATGAAACAATTTTAAGACGCGCATAAAACATTAGGATCCTAAACGTTGCTGATTTACAACGACACATTCCAGCGTGATCTAAAGCCATAAATAACTCTGCACTATACTTACGGCTTCCGACTCTACGAAATCTTTGCACTCGTGTTTACTTGGAAACTTAAGAGAGTATTATTTTCGTCTTATGAAATACCCTGAACATACGTAAACCATCAAAGGAAAAGCGCTTTTTGCTGAGTGTTTTTTAAATGCATCGCTTCTGAAGTGCCATTAGTGACTGATTGCGAGACGTGAGCATAAGTATTAAATGAAAACTGAATAACAAAATCGTTCGAAGTAGGTAATATCACTATCTAAGGAATATTCCTTGTGGTTGTAAAAGCGTTTATCGGAATCGCATTCCTTGGATGCTGCAGCACAAATGGTTGTGTCAACACTGCAGACGTTTATAAATGAAGCCGCTGCACTACCCCACTAATGCCAATTCAGTGCCAAAGCATTCGGGAGCTTTGTACAGCTTTACTGGAAAATTGAGTATGCGATCCTTTGTTCGCTGCTCTCATATTACACAGCATACAAATACAGAGCTCAGGCTGTTAACAAAATGTTATCTGTAACTTACTCTAACCACTGTTTGTTACTTTCAGTAACACTGTTGTTTGACTTTTATTTTAATGCGAGCTTTTGTTACCACGTCCAAGCTATTCGGATTTCGTAATTTCCAGGATTTCAGATTTAATCAAGAAAATAAAACTAAAACCTACCTTTTTACAACAAAAAATAATCAATAAATGTTCTGATTGATAAAAGCAGAGGAAAAAGACCTACCTTGAGCAGTTACTTTGAACGGTTAGCTTCTGGTGTTTACCTTCCAACACACGTGAAGAGTACGTATGAGTAAAGTTTTACATACCGCTCTGATCCAAATCCATGCTGCGGAATGTGGCCTCCAAAGGCCTGCGAGCCATCACGATCTGGTTGTGCAGCTCCCTCATCGCGGAGGATTCCACCAGGCCGACCCTCTGGCGGAAGGTCAGGCGGCGAGTGCGGGACACCGCGGCGGTATACTGAACAAACTGCCGCTCCAGGGAATTGCCGCACAGCTTCAAGTAGGCACCCTTGTTGGACCCGAGCTCGTAGTAGTTAGAAGCGGAGAATATTGTGATCACCTACACAAATAATTTCGTCGACTTTTTTCTGATTTTCCATAAAGCATTCTCTACCAATCAACCTTGACGCAATGTAGAGATGTCAATGGTGGATTACAATTTTAATAATATGACAGTATTATATTTTATAGGGTAAAATATGAATGAAAACAATAATGCAATTTAATAGTTCTCTTTTCCTCGCCTTGCCTCGCAAAATGTTTGGAAATTCACGGCACCGAGGATGTTACAGCACAAACTACCGCTCCAGGGAATTTAATATGAATAACCGGCGTAGTAGACTAAGAATTCTAGAAAACAATAAAGCAATATGCTAATTCTTTCAGATTTCTAAGGAAAACAGAAAGAGGTTTTTGCGATTATTTTATAGGTTTGCTTAATTCGGTCGTGAACGACTTTGCTTTTGCAAATTGTAAGATGAAAATGGAAATGGGTCTTATAAAATACAGCTCATATTATTCTGAAAACTGATTGTATTCTAAAAGCTCTTTAACCAAAAGGGAGAAAAAAGGGTCAGCGTATATTTATTTAATTTTTATTGCTGGTTTTTTTGACAAATCTTCGTACCAATGCATACCTACAAGTGATACGTACACAGAAGAAACTTCATAGAATAAAATAACTGCTACCTACGCCTCGCCTCGTGAGCAAACAAACTCCAAAAGAAACCGAGAAGTTCAAAATCTATCCATAGTTGAGTTAGGGAGTTTGGGAGCTGTGAATACTAGTTCATATGCAAAGAGCACTTGAAAACTCGTACCTATCTACATTTATACAATTTAACTAAATTATTTAGTTTTTTGTTTTGAAGGTTATTAAAATGCCTCGTCTGTACTCACTTTAAATATGATGATTGCAAAGCATAAGAAATAAAATGTTGAATTGTAGAAAAATAATAACTTATTTTTTGTACAAAACGTGCTACGACGTGCAGGGAATGATTATAGGAATGAGAAAGTATAATTATTACTCTTTACTTATCGTAAAATACTATTTTATTGTACAATCGTAACTAACTATGCTTAATTAACCTAACTTTGTAAAGTTAGTTATGTAGATAAAAAAACTAAGAGGATTTTCGCAGACTTAAAATGCCCATAATTAAATTATCAAGCTTCTCTAGCAAGTCGTGCGGGCTTCGGCACACAGCTGCGGCTGTGGTAGAGCAAACTGACGCAGGGGGATCGCATAATTCCTTTGTTACGCCCAACTCGTCGCAATTTGGAGCCACGCAGATTGCTATCACCTGTAGCTGATGTTAGCTAAAGGGTCCAGTTTATTTTCACGTGTGTGTAATTGAGGATCGTTTGGGATTGAGATATTAAGACACGAGATTTTTGTCGCTATAATTTGTATAAGCCTAATACTCGTATTACACCGAGTAATGGCAGGCGTTCTGTAGACAAAAGCTCATGAAAAGCTTATCACTGTGCTTGTTTAGATAACGACTTTCGCAAAGACTATGGCGGCTCATAAAGACTGATGAACGCCTTTATATCGCTTATCTTTTATGAAGATATTGTGTCAATTTCATACCATTTTGGATATAATCCGAGAGCTAAGGGAACAAAATAAGACGACCTCAAAACGTAACTATCAATTCCGTACAGATTGTAATCAAAGTGAAAATTGACAAACAAGAAGTTAGGTATAAGTTCAATTTTAAAACTTACATTGCCGTTGTGTAGTATTTCATATCCCCCAGGCTTGCATTCGTGACTCCTCACTAGGAAACTGAGTTTGTTCTTTTGTAGGAAAGACGATGTGACGTCGGGGCCGAAGTACGTGCCAGCACCTCGAAGGGCGTTTGCGACGCAGCCTCCGATGCATTGCGGATCCGACCATAGGATGTCGAACACCTAAAAACAAATACACATTATTATTTGCATACCTAAAAATTACTTCATCAAAGTCCCAACAGGATTCGAACGAGCAGATGTTGTAGTCGATTACTACACTCAAAAACTAGGCGGCTATCAAACAGTGCCTTTACTCCCTAAATTAAAACAAAACTAATTAAAACGTTTTCACTAATTGCTTATCTGTGAATAAGCTAAAATATTATTAAAAACCAACATTCCAACGGTACCTATAATCTATGAAATTGTAACACCGACAGAATTATGTGTACAGCTTCAATAAGACGCTCGAATAGAGCCGTAAATAGATTTGCAGTAGACTATAAGGCTAATGATAATAACAAGGCAGAAATAGGAAATGCTTGTTTTGTCTAACATCAGTAATACTGAACAGGAAATGAAGGCAGGGTCTGATTAGGGGCTGATCAAACCAAAGGGCAAAAGGAAAACCAACTATTGTATTATTCAAGGCTCGGCTCAGAGACTTTCTTAATCTATCGTTGATAGTAATTGAAAATTAATTCATTATTACTGTATAATGGTTATTTCTTAATTTATTAAAGTTTATAGGGTACATATCCGTAATCATGAACCAATAAAAATATGTATATTTATTTTAATCGCCTTATGTGAGTAATTGAGCCATTTCAGTACCTACGCTTACAAAACTTTTTTGACGTAAGCTTAATTTTTTTGTATCATATTAATAAGATAAAATCATTCTAACTCAACTTACTCAGATTTTAAAGTAAGTGCAGTCGCAGCACACCGGTGTAAAATCTTTATGGTTTCATTTCAAACTTTAATAAAAGGTTGTTCGTTTTAAAGGGGTGGGTTGAAGAATCTTTCTACCATCTGGCAGATATTGTTCGTTTTGAATATAATGCTTATTTAGATGTTTTGTTGTACGTAATTCTGTACCAACGAGAAACTACATAGAATAATATACGTTCACGAAGATATGATTTAACTCCTAACAAGATAATAAATACAATCCAACCTCCAATTTATCACCTAACAATGCCATAATAAACAATAGCTACACAAAACAGATGCAGAAACTTCCTTCAGTGAGGTAAAACAATAAACATTTTGTTTTTATCATCCTACTCGGAGGTGTTTGAGACTGCACAAATTCTATAGTAATTGAATTATAGTTTACAGAATGTTATGTTCAAGTATTTTAGTTAAATGCATGTTGACACGGTCTTCTATCGCATGGGTTTAGGGAAGAAAGAGTCAGACATGATAAGCCGCCGTATGTATTTATCTGATACGGCTAGATCGATTCAGTTTCGCATAGAATCACATTATTGTGAAAAAGATTAGTCTTTCATTGACATCGTATGTGAAAATAAACTTAAGTAAGTGTAATATTAATTTTCACTCAAAATGTTTAGGAATATGAACAAAGCCTTGACTAACAATGGATACAGAAAACTACACCTTAAAGGTTACACTAACCAACGGTACACGAGCACTTAAAAAATGTTAAAATATACCCCCTGATTATACGGATAACTTTGTTTGTTTTTTTATAAAATCGCAATATATTTTCATCATATTTAAAAGATCACGGCTCTGAAGGAGAAATTTCCAATTTCACAGGCTGCTGCGATCGTCACCAATTCACGCAAAGACGCGTTTTTATTTCCACATAATAGCTTTGTAAACTGCTTTCCCGATTTAAGGCATGTTTTTATAGCATTATGACACGTATCTATGAGTTTAAGCTGTAATAAGATTACATAATTGTTAGAAAATAGGTCAGATTTTTAAATTACCTGCATTGAATACATAACAACATAGTTACCACGATAGAACTCAAAGTTCAAACCCATCCCCGTAGAGAGAACACCTGCCAAGTTCATGATTTATTTATTCTTAGCCAATATTACTGAAATTCCAATTACGTGTAAACTTTTCCGGGTTACTTTTTTAATAACGTTTTATGGCACCCCAAGGCCCATTTGCCAAATGAAGCAATTACATCATTTATGATAAATTATTGGCACTTTCAGACAATAACAGCCTTAACAGTAGTTTTCGATTGGCTGTATTGCGCCACTGAATATCAGCTGTGATATTACCACAGACGGTAATTAAACTTACTATTGCATTTAAATAAAATATATTCCACCACTATCCGTGGATTCGCGTTAACCATAATACGCTCTATTCATTTAACAGAGGGCTCAAAGTTGACAAACACAGATCTGCGGATTATGAGATTCCTTCTTCTCAAATGCTAATCCATCCGTACAATATTCAATTCTGTTCGACCGCGAATCCGCGGAGCTTTATGCAAATGAAGTAAAAGTTTTGGGTGGCTCGCGGGTTAATTCAAAGACTATGGCGCCGCGGCCGGGGCCCTTCGGCGAACTTGGATTGGCATTAATGTAAACATAGTAGGACAATAACCTGCGTGGGGATGTTTAAGTGGCAAAGTTTAAGCGTAACATGGCTCTTAAAAGTACTAAGAGAAAAAGTGGCTCTCAGTTTTACGAGCATGCGAAGCCTTTAGGAAAACCAGCGAATGTAAAATCTAAAAATATTTAACCTCTGTTTGATATTTTCAGCAAACAAAGTTTCAATTTACATACTCGTTGAAAATATCAAATGAACTGGGAGTTGGGTCCTTAAACCTTATGTAACTAAAAATAAACCTTTAGAATTTTAAACTTTGAACGAAAATCCAAAACGAGACTTAGTCAAAAGTTGCGCAGAAAAGATAATCTAAGTACCTACCTAGGTATTATTTTATACTTAAGTAGGTACCCATTCATATTGCTTTATACTTTACAGCTTTAAACGGTTTAGACGTTGAAAATTTGAATATTATAGTAGAAGTTATAAGCGAGGAAGTGTGTTACCTATCGTATATTCCGAACTCATAAAATATTCATACTGAAACTTGAGTTTCATACTTCAGGGAACTTTGCTTTGAACGGCGCAATAAAATGCAATTCAAATAGGTAATTGTACTCGTGTTATAACGTAGATTTACAAGCTTTCCGAGCTCTAATAAAATTATTTTTTCCTTGCTAATAAGTATCGATGGCATAATTTTTATTTATTTTAGATGTCATAATAGGAAGAATAAAAGAGATTATCTATGTTTTAATGTAATATTAAATAAACATTTATACCTACGTTCTGTTAACCAACGACCCACTGAGCTACCACCTTCATTTGCGAGTTTTCAAATCGAAATCCCCCACTAAATCACATTCACGTGTCGCCAGGTCTATAGTCGCAACGAGCATCGGTCGAACACGATCGTTATCGGCACAGTAATGAGTGGCATCGTGTCATAGCGTTAGCGTGACGGCGACGCTTCGAGGAAACAATTGGAATCGATCAACAGCTACCCCTTTAACCCCATTGCACCACGTGCGTGAGACAAGGACGGACGACACGCATGGTGACTAAACCTCAGTTAACTGAAGTTCTACATTTCGTGTCACTACTTACCGATTCATGGAAATCTGACATTTCTCTGAACTTATACCTCTGGGTGACAAGGCAAAACACTGTGGCTACGAGTAACAATAAAAAAAATAGTTTCCTATGTGTTGTTATAGCCGTTTCAAAAGTGTTTGCGTGTGTGGGTCACGGTGTTCATGGTTTATGTCTTGAGCATGTGTAGGTGTAGGTATGTAATTGCTATAGCAGTGACAGCTTTTTAGTAAAAGAATAGATCTATTATGGGAATGGATTATTTTAATTTTTATATCAGTCTTTAACCGATATAAGTAATTTTTCCGTGTCAAATAATACGAATATAACCGTACAGAACTGAAGGTTGTGTTAATATTTGATTGCAGTTTGATCTGAAGAAGGTAAAAATGGATAAATTGACTGAATTTATTATAACGATGTGGGCGTAGTAAGCAAAAAAAATGTGACAGACTAGTGTAAATCAAAGATATGGGCCATGCGATACCCTTTTCGTTTAGTAAAACTGGGCCATATTTCAATTGAGAATGTTTTTTGAGGGCAATGTGGAAGATAAAAGTTTGCCTGATAATTTAGACATTCCAACAACTCTAGATCTCGTTGAAAAAACGTCTTGGAACCCACCAACTATTGGGACAACTCTTTTGATAAGCTCTTAAATGTCCAATTAATCGCAATTAAATGGGTTTAGGTGGTACGATGCCAAGATATTTTAGAATTAAAACTGAAACACATTATCACTAGGTATCTAAGCGACCTTAGCGCTCCTGCACACGACGCCGCCACCGTGCCGCCGCCGCGCCGTCGCCGCGCCCCTACACTGTTCATACGCGCCGAGTAAAAAATCCGCCGCGTGCCGCCGCCGCGCCGCGCCGCCATCGCGCCAATAAAGCATAATTTAGCGGTGGCGGCGTCGTGTGCAAGAGCCCTTACTTAATCACAAAAGTCTACGGACTTGCCCTAGACTTTATTCGTTAAAAATTAATTAATTACTTTAATAAAGAACTTCAAAATTTATGTGTTAAAGTAAAAAGCTAACAAATGTTACGAATGAAGTTAAACGTGTAAGCAATTACACGAAATGAAAAGCTAATTCATTAGAAATCAAGTTTCATTGTTTTAAAATTAATTATTCGATTAAAATGCCTAATAAAAACTAAATTACCTACAAAAGAATGAACAATTTCAAACGAAATTATGAACTTATGAATAAGGTAGGTAATTGTATTTGGCGGACCGCGTAACAATGTTAGGCGAATACACATAGTTGGGGACAGGATTGAACAAAAATGTCTGAAGCAGACGACAAATTGTAAGAAGAACCTCGCCTTTGGGACTCGTGTTCATAAAGCGGCCGCGGTAACTTTATCGTGCGCCACTCAGCGGGGGTCCGACCCTGGGAAATTGTATTACGCCAAAGATGACGTTTGCTGAAATTGCTGCGAACGAAAAGAAATAAGATAAGATCATTGATGTAATAAAGCAGACAAAGCCCAGCCAATAATCTCCAAGTGGTCGAATAAAGTGTTAAACCAGAAAGGATAAAGGTTTTGTGCAACTTCAGAGAAAGCTCCATACGAACTGAAAAACAGAAAACGTTCAAGCCACGTATTTCGAGAATGCCACACAGTAATTCACAACAAATTAATTTCAATCGACATCAAATTAAAGCTCTTCTGAAACTACCTCTGGAAACTTAGCGAGAAGGTAACTTCGAACTTATGGCATAAATTTAATACATACCAGACGGTAATTCAATTAACCACGTGGCTCTGCTATGTAAGCAGCACGAATGGTAAGATCGTGTTGTTTATTGAAGACACGATGCTACAATATAACATACTCGTAATTCTCAATAGTATTACAGTAGGTAACAAATACTTAATCTTAATTAAGATGTAAATCAAAATATAGTAGACATTGATTTGTGTTTATCGTTCCTGTCAATCGTAAGATTTCAGTTATTATAATTGCTGATGAATATCAAAATGTATAAACCAAAATTTGCCGTTACCTTTGTGACTTCAATAAAATAAAATCATGTTGTAGTCAAAAGGAAAATGTATAATGCACAGATCGTTCAGATTCTGTGTGAAATACTATCGCTATAGAAAAGGCTGACTTTTACCGAGGGCAATACTGTTAGGTCGCACATAACCGACGCAATAACCTTTGTTTTATAGTTATAGGCTTCAAGTTATGAGATTCAGCAAAATGTTAGTAGGTAGCTATATCTGACTTAAATCAATCAAATAATTTGTTTTTGTGAGGCGTTGTGTTGCGTAGTGCGCCGTGCGAATTCGTTGTAAAACTTCATCAATTTAAATTCAGTATTAACGACAAAATTACCTCTATACAATACTAAATTACCATAAATATTATTATACTTTGACCGTTACAATATTAGTACACTTATGGGCAAGTTACTTTAAAATGTTTAACACAAAACAATATGACTGTTTTTATTGTTTTTCAGACTTCATTTATGCCTGTCTGCAATTTCACCATCACAAAATTCACCATAATGGAGGAATCTTGCAAAAATGTATTAAACTATGTAATAAAACTCGTTTAGCTGCACGCGTAGCGCGCCGAAGCAAATTGAATCTCACAAGTTAACTGTGCAAACTAATAGTTTGCGCGAGTATATCTACTAAACTCTGTTTAATCCGTCGCCTGATTGCAACGCAAACAGACTTGTGTGTTAATGATTACGTTAGAGCCTCTTATAAAATGTTCATAGCCTAGCTAACCTTAACGCGTTTAGTTAAGAGGATATTGCGCGAGGTGACTTCGAAGACAGCCTAACGAGCTTCGCGCAGCAATCAAGGTAGAAATTGAATCCTCGATACAATTTATGACTTTACATTATCGGTGATGTTGTCTGTAGTTGTAAATACTGTTTATACACCTACGTACAACATCAAACACGAATGTGATTAAGCATTCATTTTTCAAACAAACCTAATTCACTATTTTCTTATACGTTAATTATAGTAACCCACTTATGTTACTTAAATATTTTTACTCGGAGCCTAAAATGTCATAGTTCAGTGAACTAACTGTTTGAATTTAGAATTATGCCAATCGATTGATTGCCGTATTAGTGCATAGCCATGTAAAAGTTTGAACGAGCCAGCAATGGTCCTAGTGCCGCCCAGAAGTGTAATGAATGATTGGTTTATTAACAACTAACCTGTTTCCATTCCACTTTGTCTATAACTTCGGCACCCGACGTGGAGTTTTCGGTTACCGGAGGTCGAAGGAGCGACACGTACTGAAAATGAAATACTGACTTAGTCACAATATTTTTGCAATGCTTTATAAATATTCCGATCTCATTAGCTACAAACCGCTAGCTTTCGTTCTGTTTGTTTGATTGAATTTATATTCAGGTCTGCACGTTCGAAGTTGCCGCTTTGCATGAATTATGGTATAATAAGAAAATTCAGATTTTATCTCAGCAAAAATGTTTTAGCTTTCTTCGCTTTATGAGTTATTTTGACTACAAATTGATATTCAAGACACTTTTCATCAAACTCTGAAAATTATCTTTGAAATACTGTCTCTTTGCCAGCGGGAGATCAATATGCAGGACAATAAAAAACGTTAGATGAGATCGGTTTTCTTAATGACAAACTGGACCACAGCAAACGTTACGCCACTTTTAGCTTTTTCTCTCTATACTCGCCAATTGGGGGACAAAATCAAACATCTAAATCAAAAATATTTATTCAGTTTAGACCACAAGTGGCACTTATGAACGTCAAAATGTAGTAAAAAATAAAACAGAAAAGGTAGCCCTTATGGGGCACTTTACAGTTTTCAAAGGCGGTTCAATGCGTCAGCCTTTACTCTCTACATACCGTCTCTAATATCACCTGGTGATAAGTACCTTGTCTCTCTCCAGGCTGCGGATCATGTCCAGGTCGGTGGTGTCGGAGATGCCGCCGTGCACGACAAACACGCGGTTGTTGATGATGGTGCCAAGTGGAAGCCACCGGTACACGCACTCTATCAACTTCAAGAGCCTTTCTGCGTTGTGCTACAAAGAGATATTTAATATACAGCCACAAAGGTAAATCATTTCAACCTAAAATTGGTGAAACAATACTGGTACTCTAAAGCAATTTATCCTGCAGGCCAGTTATGCCTGACACCTACTTATACAAAATGAATTTCGTAGTCAAAACATTTTGGGTTGATTTTGACGTTATTTAAACAGAAATGTTTAACATGAAAACTCGGATCAATGCCAATGAATTATAGCACTCTAATCAATCTCGTCTGCCTGTCTCAATGCTTGTCAAACTTTTGCATCAACATATTTGTAATAAAAGCTTTTCGTTCGAAGCTGAAAAATTGCGTTATACGATTTCGCTTTGTTGATAAAAGCTAAAACTGAAGTTCAAACTTTGCTGTTAACGTCGTTATTTTACTTACCCGATATTTTTGCTGCACTTCTTTGATGAATCCATACCTGTATAAAATAATAACTCTGTCTTTTAATCAGTCTCTAATTGTACATAAACCGGTATTACTCGCAATAACATAAATCAAGAAATCTCGTGTTCGATGGTGACGAGAAATAAAGAGCGACTTACGAAATACACACCTAGAATTCATAATGAGATCTTCATGGTTGCCTCGGTTGAGGTACACTCCGCCTGGGAACGCTAACATGCAGGCCAGCAGCAAAAGGAACACTTCTAAGCCCTTTTTCCCTCGGTCTACAAAGTCTCCATTGAATATGTATGGATTTTCAGGCGACGGTAGTCCATTCTGCATAAAAATAAAAAAATAAATTTATTTTAAAAAGTTTAGTGCACTTAACTATCTAATATTCTGCTTACGACGTAAGTGCTAGCTAGCAAAAGTTAACTATCACCCCTAGAGACTTTAAATAATAGTACGTGTATCATACTGATAAAAGTTACTGTAATTGGACATTAAAAAGTCTAATAAGTAATTGATGTATTAATCTCTAGAGCTTTTCGTGAAACTTTATGAACTTTGTCACGTAACTCATAGAGCTTATGGATCAAGAAATCATACAGGTACGACATTAATTTATAAAAGGTTAAAGTTGCTAGTAAACGAGTCGGAAAAATTTTAGGCTATTGCCAACCATAATTTTGTTAATAACGCCGTAAACTACGGCATCAATTGGAAACATTGTAGGGTAAACCACCCAATCATTGGCACTCTACCAATTTATTGGCATGCTCCAGTTTTTTAAGAAAATTAAGGTTTTTTGTAGCCAAATCTTATATTTTTTAGTAGAAATTGTACAGTAATATCATTTATTACTCAATTGGCTACACACGTTTTTTATTTTTTCAAACATCGCGGCGCATCAACCATTTGTTTGACAAACCGCGACCTGTGCGTAAAAAACAATCGAAATATTCGTTTTTTACTAAGGTAAGAGCTATCATAATCTTTTAAAAAAATGCAAATCTATTTTGTTGTCCCTATACATAATCATTTTGTCTTATTATTGAATATATTAACTGCCTTTTTAAAACATTATTTTATAATTTAACCGCCAACTTTTAATTATTTGTGGTGTGCCAACATTTGGTATACGTAAAATCTGTTTATCCATTTTATTGGCACACATGCCAATAAAAGGGTATTTAAAATAATTTGACTTTATTAAAAATTATACCTTGGTTGTCTCAAAATTGAGTTTAAATTGCATTTCAAATATTTTTTAACGTTTTGGATACACCAATCCAAATGTTGGCCCACTGCCAATTATATAAAATCCATTTATTGGCACGGGTGTCAAACATTGGTTAAAAAGGTGCCAATAAAAATAATTATCTTTTCAGCCACTTTCAAAGAAAAAACAATCGAAATATTCGTTTTTTACTAAGGTAAGAGCTATCATAATCTTTTAAAAAAATGCAAATCTATTTTGTTGTCCCTATACATAATCATTTTGTCTTATTATTGAATATATTAACTGCCTTTTTAAAACATTATTTTATAATTTAACCGCCAACTTTTAATTATTTGTGGTGTGCCAACATTTGGTATACGTAAAATCTGTTTATCCATTTTATTGGCACACATGCCAATAAAAGGGTATTTAAAATAATTTGACTTTATTAAAAATTATACCTTGGTTGTCTCAAAATTGAGTTTAAATTGCATTTCAAATATTTTTTAACGTTTTGGATACACCAATCCAAATGTTGGCCCACTGCCAATTATATAAAATCCATTTATTGGCACGGGTGTCAAACATTGGTTAAAAAGGTGCCAATAAAAATAATTATCTTTTCAGCCACTTTCAAAGGCTTTCAAAGTCTTATTCCACTAATCCCCGTTGACAATCCCCGTCAACGGGGATTAGTGAACTTTTTGTTCATTAATCCCCGTTAACGCCAATGGAGTTTACGATGGGGATTAATGAACTAAAAAGTTAATTAATCCCCAGTACGTTAAATATAAAATACTCATGTAAGAATCAGGCACCTTCTATTTATTACTGGATAAGAACTCACTTATTATTTTTGTTATCAAATTAAATTAAATTGAGGACTGATTACAATACTTTAAAAATTAACACTTACCTGATTAACCAAAAGCACTATGGATATTGAATCGTTATTCTCCATTCATCATTTAAAAGAAGATGGAAACGATTACAAACAAATTTGGACCAAGATGTAACAAGATAAAAATGGTGTAAATTAATAGCTTTGTAATCAGGCTTAAATTTAATTTAATTTGATTATAAAAATAATCAATAAGTGAGTTCTTATCCAATAATAAATAGAAGGTACATGATTCTTACATTTTTATTTTTTTTAACGTAGTTTTCTGAATAAAGAAAAATAAAATAAACTAAAAAGTTCATTAAGCTCCATTGGCGTTAGCGGGGATTAATGAATAAAAAGTTCACTAATCCCCGGGATTAGTGGAATAAGCCTTTGAAAGGCTTTAAAAGTGGTACCACGGTCTACTATACAATTCAGATTGAAACATCCTGATCATCGCTCTAAGCCCGGTCCGTTCACAATTTTAACTGACGAGGAAGAACAGATTTTTGTTGCCTGGATAAAATAAAAATCAGTAGCAAAAAAGTATTTCCGAAGAGAAAAGAAGATTTGATAAAAGTGTTTATGGAAAGTTTAAAACTATATTTAAATATAAGCGTTTGTACTGATATGGTATGTTCCTATACAAATAAATGTTACTTTTCTTATAGCATAGGATTTTATTTTGTTTATTTCTATCATGAATCTCTTTAAAACCTCTACATAAGACCTAGCAGCTATTTTTCAGTCTTGCGAAAACAGTGCCAATAATAGGTAATTATCACTGCCAATAAAAGGTTTGGCTATGCCAGGAACTGGTATTTTGAGGTATTTTTTTAAAAGGTACACTATATTGAATAAATAATTTAATTTATTAATGATAAGTACTTTATAATATTCTGAAAAGATTAAAAGACCAATATAAATGTTTTTTTCTTTGATAAAACATATTTTTACATGCAAATTTTACCGGTTTTGTGAAGTAGCTGCTTAAAGTGCCAATAATTGGGTAGTTTACCCTATTAGGCACATAATTTTCCTTTATTCGCATAATATCAGATTCTCAAAATATCAGATTCTTAAAATATCAGATTATCAAAATAGCAGATTCTCAATATAGCCAAAGTACAATCAAGACAACATTTATTTTTTAAATCAAATTTATTTTTAAATATGAGACAAACACTTATTGAAAACAAAAAAGATCACCATAGATTTATAATTATATCCAGCGGCAATCATACGCATAAATTATACAGGGTGTTTGGCGGAAGGTTAGGCAAACTTCGTGGGTGTATAGGTAAGGTCATTTTAAGACTACAAGTTTGCCCATTTGACCATAAAGCTAGGCACTAGGCAACATTTGTTGATAAACTGTTTATGACTAGTGTGAAACAAGTTTACCATAAACACAGATTTCTGAAACTTGACCGTCCACACTTGCTCTCCACTCATGGCGGGGAGCACGGCAACATGTATCATAAACAATGTTTCATCACCTATGTTTATGGACTGTTTATAAACTGTTTACAGAGATGATGAAACATTATGAAACATTTTTTATGAACAGTTTTCCGCCAAACACCCTGTATTCTGTGCATAAATTAACATTCTTCATATTTATTTTTAAGTAGATATCATGTTCACTTCGGCTTGACCTCTACTTTCTGGACACCCTGCATAGGTAATACAAATATATTTTTCACGTTGAGTGTCCAATTTCGGTTATATTGAGATTCTGCTATTTTGATAATCTAATATTTTAAGAATCTGATATTTTGAGAATCTGATATTATGCGAATAAAGGATAATTTTGACTACCATTAAATTCTGTTACATTGTTATACCGGTACAAAATTGAACAAAATTGATTCCCATTTACAATGAGTTTAATTCATGGATCACGGGAAATTACGTCAAGAAGTATTTTAATACAACACTAAAAGGAAATTGATTTACAAACAATATCAGATCGCGATTGGAAACATGAAAAATGGATCTATTTTTATGAATGGAAACTGCAATATATCGTGTAATCCCAAACGCTTTATTTCGCGAATACCCTGTGGAGAGGGATGCTCGCCCGAGCGTGTAGATACCGAAGATATTTCGATAACACTTGAAGTGCCTCTCCATGTAACCAATTACGAACGTTACAGTAACACCGTGTTCACACAATTATCAGTCTGTAATATCAAAGCATAAACTTTGGCACGAGTAACTTGTTTATTCACAACAGTAAATATTAGGAAGCTCAAATAGTAAATATTGATTCAGTTGAAATTTTTTAATAAGTGAGTAAATCTTTAGATAAAGTCCCAAAAATATGAGAGATAAGNCCTTTATTCGCATAATATCAGATTCTCAAAATATCAGATTCTTAAAATATCAGATTATCAAAATAGCAGATTCTCAATATAGCCAAAGTACAATCAAGACAACATTTATTTTTTAAATCAAATTTATTTTTAAATATGAGACAAACACTTATTGAAAACAAAAAAGATCACCATAGATTTATAATTATATCCAGCGGCAATCATACGCATAAATTATACAGGGTGTTTGGCGGAAGGTTAGGCAAACTTCGTGGGTGTATAGGTAAGGTCATTTTAAGACTACAAGTTTGCCCATTTGACCATAAAGCTAGGCACTAGGCAACATTTGTTGATAAACTGTTTATGACTAGTGTGAAACAAGTTTACCATAAACACAGATTTCTGAAACTTGACCGTCCACACTTGCTCTCCACTCATGGCGGGGAGCACGGCAACATGTATCATAAACAATGTTTCATCACCTATGTTTATGGACTGTTTATAAACTGTTTACAGAGATGATGAAACATTATGAAACATTTTTTATGAACAGTTTTCCGCCAAACACCCTGTATTCTGTGCATAAATTAACATTCTTCATATTTATTTTTAAGTAGATATCATGTTCACTTCGGCTTGACCTCTACTTTCTGGACACCCTGCATAGGTAATACAAATATATTTTTCACGTTGAGTGTCCAATTTCGGTTATATTGAGATTCTGCTATTTTGATAATCTAATATTTTAAGAATCTGATATTTTGAGAATCTGATATTATGCGAATAAAGGATAATTTTGACTACCATTAAATTCTGTTACATTGTTATACCGGTACAAAATTGAACAAAATTGATTCCCATTTACAATGAGTTTAATTCATGGATCACGGGAAATTACGTCAAGAAGTATTTTAATACAACACTAAAAGGAAATTGATTTACAAACAATATCAGATCGCGATTGGAAACATGAAAAATGGATCTATTTTTATGAATGGAAACTGCAATATATCGTGTAATCCCAAACGCTTTATTTCGCGAATACCCTGTGGAGAGGGATGCTCGCCCGAGCGTGTAGATACCGAAGATATTTCGATAACACTTGAAGTGCCTCTCCATGTAACCAATTACGAACGTTACAGTAACACCGTGTTCACACAATTATCAGTCTGTAATATCAAAGCATAAACTTTGGCACGAGTAACTTGTTTATTCACAACAGTAAATATTAGGAAGCTCAAATAGTAAATATTGATTCAGTTGAAATTTTTTAATAAGTGAGTAAATCTTTAGATAAAGTCCCAAAAATATGAGAGATAAGTTAGCTTAGCTTCTCATTATTTTGGCTTAACTAGTTACTTTTTGTACTTCGAAATCCACCTAAGGTACTACGTAAAATTGTGTCTGGTGACCCTGAATTTTAAAGTACCTATGTGTAATTCCGCGGAGACTTAGACAGACGTCCTTTACAGGACATTTATGGTACATAGGTGAATTATAAAAAAGAAACTCTAATAAGCCGACTAATTGTGCCTTACTTTAATAAATTAATTAGGTACAAACTATGGCTATACATACATGGCTAGCGACGTGAATGATGTAATTTTTTTAAACCTCTATAATTTTAATTGAAATATTTATGAAGTAAAATTAGGTTTAAAGGAATTCACTTAGTTTGTCCATTTTATTTGGTGTACAAATTGTACAATGAACATTGTTAAATAAAAGGCCAGTTGGTAGAGCAGCCACGTTCTACAAATATAGCTGTAACAAAGTATTTGCATGCAAACTGCACGGTAGTTTTATTGGCATTCCGTATCGAAAATCGGAAACTGAACCACGGACTGAACTAAGCTGCAGCGCTCACTCAAAGCATATCTTTTGTCGGTGCAAAAAAACTTTTGTTTTGCACGAGTAAATAAAAATAGATACATTTCATGAGAATTTCACTACACGTTAGTGTCATTTTTGCTCATTTTGTGAAATCCGTGTCACTAGGTATAAATGGACATAATTTGTCCTGATATAAAAGAAGGAATCGTATGAATTCTGGGAAGATAATAAAATCTGTGAAGGTTACATGATAATGATGTACAGTCAGACGAAATGTGTCTCTAAATCTGTCAATGTGTCCCAAGGACCCATCTCACTTTCATGTGTCACGTCCCACAGTTCCAAAGTTATGACTCGCTAACAACGGAGCGATCTTCGGGTCTATGCTCCTTTAGTCGGTGAAGTTGAGAAGTTGATACGCGCTCCTTTCCAATTTTATGCTGCGGAATATAGGATGTATGAAAGTAGGCAATTTGCTATGTCGACTGCTGACTGCTTGGTTTATTCATGGATCGAAGTTTCTTTTTAGTAGAATCGATATAAATAAAATTAAGCTGGAATTAATTGACCTATGTGTTAATACTAGTTAAAATATTGTTATCTCGTAATGAACTTCTCTGTATTCTTGAGCAGCCTGTATTTTAAGTATGCTATTTACGCAGTCGTTCAGTCGCCGCAACATATGCGTAATGAGTGTCCAATTGGAGAATCCTCATATCTGCAGCGGTGGGCCAAGGCTGCTTACGCAACGTGTGGGCTGCCAATCAATACCAGCAGCGTTACATAATCGTTATCCTTTTGCCAACACTTATCCATGTTATGATCACGGGGTCAGCTAATGCACTACTCAAGCGCTTGTTATGGAACGACTAATACCTCATGCCTACACGAGTCATTAAACTAAATATGTCTATTAACAATATTAGACCGCTCCCAGTATGCACAAGGCTAGGTTATGAGCATAACTTATACTAGCGATTAACAAGTATCCCTCCCTTGTTATTTTGAATAAATTAACACCACACATGAACACCGGCTCGATAAATTGTGGCTATTTGCATTTATTGTATATTTATGAAGGGTATTCTTACTCTCCGCATCAAAGCTTTCCTTTCATTCGACTCTGACATCAATGGGTACCGTAATTAATTTTACTGAAGTTCCGACAATGAGGGTTGAGAAATTCGATGAGAAAAACATTTTTCACTCACCCAAGTATCTGAGGTCTTAAAATGAAATCTTCATCTTCTACAGTAGAGGCTGTCTACAAAGCCGACGAAAAGATGCTTTACATCTTAGGTACCAATACGGCTAAATCTTATTAATTTTTGTTGACAAGTTGCCGGATAATTCGATTTATTCATAGAGACTATTCTACTATTCGTAGATAACCGATAATACGTGTTTCCCATCTTATGCAAAGAGGAAACATCAGTTGGAAAACAATATCGGCGTATTAACGAGGTCGTCCGGCGTAACAGGCGGTCTATCAATCAAACGGCGGCCGGCGACGGCGGCGGCTCCAATTAGGTGACGCGTGCGCCGCTCCCGATGTTTGCGGCCGGCCTGCCCACTTGACGTCAAAACTTCACGAAAACAACCCCAAGAAAACCTACAAGTTACAACGCAATCACTATGTACCTGATGACGTCATGCCCTGTGTAAATTAGATCGGCTGGTGGATTTTTCCATTGTTAATTTAGATCACGCAAGAGGGGAAAATGGCGTAATCAGTGTTTGTCAACGACGAAATCTCTAAAAAGTTGACTTGTTACAAAGTTTTCCTCGGGAAAAATGTTGTGGAAATCTCAATACAAAGGGTTACTTTATTGATATAAAAACAAATCTAAACGCTATTTATTTATTTATTTATTTATATGGCATACCAACAACATATATTATACTCTTATGATTAACATTTATGAAGATAACATTTCTGATATATAGGTATGTCACTTAAGGGTAAGCACAACATTCAGATGGTTTTCTTTTAAATTACATACTATTTAAGAGATTTAAAACGAATACAAAAGCGACTCGCTAAACTAAAAAAAAACAATAATAACAAAAAAAAGCGTGCCCTACATCGCAGAACTTAAGTGCTTATGCAATTTATTTTTTTTAGGGTGCTTATCGTAAAATACATCTAAATCCCGAACCTTGCTCTGTAGTGTGTTGTAGTCATTAAGGAGTCTGTACATAGGAGATTGACGACCCAAATTGGTTTTCGTAGCCGGTATCTTGAAAATCTTGGTGATTATGTGTCTAGGATATCTGTATGGTATGGAGAGGCAGATGCGCTGAAGGAGACTGCTACACCTCACCATGCTACAACTGACCATTCAAAAGCTTGTGCAAAAAACACGCTAAGATAGCAAGCAATTTAAAAAGTTATAACAGATAAAACATAAAATCTTGTGTAAAAAATCCAGCAGAAAAATTCACTCTGATCCTAAACTGAAGTCAGCGAAGTAAAAAATTTGCTTTGACATCACGTAGGTTCAATCTTCTAAAGAAAAATGTCATTAAATCCAAGAAATGCCACAAAAAGAGGGAATATCACCGTTTGCTGTAAATCGACTTAATCAAGATTGTTTTGCAATGTGAAAATTTACAATTTAAAACGGACTCTGAAGCAAATAGCAACAAATAATAGTAAGTGCAAACTACCTACTTATTATCAGTTCGCTATTAGAACATGGAGAAAGGGAAAAACTATAATAATGGAAATCTATTAGAGCCCATAAAAATATCTGCTATCGTCGTGGATAGGTCATAATAATTCTGCTGCCTGTCATACGTAGTGGCACTCGGGCTTAATGGAATCTAGGGGAAGCCGTTGTACGGTAAATATCCGAGACCGACATACTATACTAGGTAAATCACAGTTTGAGAAAATAACGTCAATTACAGTACTTTATACTAAGAAGCTTCTAAAATATATGATGATAGGTATCATGAATTTCCAATGGCGCATATTACTTTTGCGTCCCAAAAACTTTGCATATCAAAAACGTTAGTAACTTAAGTAACCTAACGTAAGTAACTTTGCCAATCGTTTGTGTGTGAAAACCTAGGGTTAAACTTTTTTCGTGCTAAAAAATTGTCTCTAAAATAGGTGGCTTATGCTTTCTTACGTTTATTTTTTGGTTGTTTGTCTCAGATTGAGTCATTAATCATTGTTATATTGAACATAAAATGTCACCTAAAACGATACTAAATCCAAACGTGTGCATAACCTTACCTTATGAAATATAACGAGTAAATCGTCTAATTTCCCATGCAAGTCGCCGCACACTGTTATCTGGCTGGATATAGACGTGGTGGCCACGTGGATATTGGGCATCCGCTTCAGAACCTGAGTGGCCTCTTTTAATATCTGCGCGACATATTTCGGATGGAGGCGATGCTGGAATAAAATGAAATTAATATCAAGCCTTATTAATAATTTCTCATGGTGGAAAGGTATTCGTGGCAATATCCATCCGTCGACGACATTTTTAGAACCGTACCGTAATTTTATTCTTGCCATGACATTACTAATGCATTAATAGCAGAGTGAGCGTGAAACTGTGACACATTAAATTATGTATGCAAATAGCAGTTACATACTCTGTCCTTACAGTGTGCAAAGTATGTGTGAGTACCAACTTACAGTAACTTAAAGAAAGAACACAGAAGACAATAAATTCTTGAACATGAACACTACTCATACTCGTATTCATGAAATATTCATGTAATATTTTCAGGAGCAGCTGAAGCAGTTATTCTAGACACATTAATGTTAATCCTACATAACTCAAGTCTGCACTAATTTAGTCGTTTATCAAACGTATTTTGTTCCATTTATGCCAAATGCCAAAATATAAAGAGCAGAGTAGATAGGAAATGTTTGTAAACAGGTGGGTAACATAAGTTGTAAGAATGGAATACCTTTTTCTTCCTGAAAGCTTCAATCAGTAAGTCGATATCCTTTCTCTGCAGTGGAAACTCAATGTCGGGCCCGTGGGATGGCTTAGAGGGAGCAGTTTCGTCCACACCCCCTCCTTCGTCGGACTCCTCAGAAAAAACTTGCTCCACTGCCAAATATAAATTGTGTGTAAATATTTGATGTCGTGAAATCTATCGGCAATAGCATCAGAGTGGAAACCAGTGAAATTGAAGCTAGCGTAAGTAATACTCAAGGTGAATGTCAATGTCAGGCTATAAACTGTCCTTATTCTCTGTTATCGATATTATTTAAATCTGTAATTGTAAATGTATTAGTATGTACTAACTTGATCGTATGAAAAATATGCCTAATGAGAGTGATTCAATTTTATGAGACTGATGTTCACATTACAATAGAGCTTAATTAGTTGAATGTAGCTGACTGCCTGAAACTGCCAATTAACTACTAACGAACTTTTATTTATTAAAGGTATTATAAATACAAATAACGATGCTGACATTTAAAACGGGAATTCGTGTCAGACTGCAGCGCCAATAATAGCTGACTGAGACCTAGTTTTGTCTGCATTAGGTAGAAGAGAGAGAGAGGTCACTGCAGTTAGTTGAATTATGTAACACGAGACATGTGTAAAGATACCGCAACATTGCGTGCCTGCAGTCAGTTAAATAAGAGAAAAAACGGCACCAAAAGGAATGAGGACACGAGAATAAAAAGGATCCTAGTATGATTAAATTTCCCTAGCGTAATTTGCAAATGGAGACACTGAGATAGTCACTATTAATAAAATTGTATTAACTTTAAATTAACGGACTAGGTGTTCACTTTAGAAAATGATTATAGCTGCATTCGTTTAAACAAAGACAAACCTACAATACAGTCTCATCGTAAAGTTTATCACGAAACCATAAGCCTGAGTTAGCTAAATTAGTTAAACAAAATCCTTTAACCCTTGCTAACGTTATTAATGTGATTAAGAGATGGTTAAAGTTTGTTAGAAATAGCTAAAACATAATTTATCGTTTTCGTATCGTAATCTAATTTACAGTCTATTAAGTAATATTGTTACAGTTTTGAATGAACTGGTTAACTTATGTACATGTTTAGGTATTTTAACATAAAAAACCTTAACGTTTATAACATTATGCTTTCTTCAAATACCTAATCTATTGAGTGTAATAAAATCTATTGGAAACTGCAGGGGAATTTGTGATTTTCGTACCTTATAGATTGTCGTAAAGCAATCAATCTGAAATAATCTATGTCAAAGGTTTTCAATTTATTATCACATTCTACGAATGTTCGTTACCGTGAATAGTGGTAGAAACAAATTCATTTCATCCCGCATGGTTATTAGTTCTTAGAATAACTCCACTGCCAAGTGTTGGTGAAAGATTAAAAAATTCAACCCGTCAACAAGAGTTACGAGCGTTTCTTTTAAAAAAATCGTCGGGAACTGAATTAAGTTGTGAAAAGATTGTATTGTTGCGGCCAGTGGAGAACAAAAATATTTTATTCATTTTGTTTTCTTGATGAACAGCAACCGGCTATTGATGAGCCCATTGTATTTTTGGCACAGTATTTAATGACACTATTTGGGTTGTAGGAATTCATTGTGAGAACACACACGCGCTCACTAAATACAAAACTCGTTGCTTACTCTACGATAGCTGTTCGTATTTATTTTCCATATCAATTGCTATAAATGTTTGAGATGAAAAATATTACTGCGGTTAAATATTTGTTGCACAAATATATCTATCATAGTCCAATTTCAATGAAAATAAAAGAATATGAACTTTGAAAGACTCTGATGACAAAATAACTTCTGAAACAAAAGGAACGGTAAAAGATTCTCCAAAAATGATGTGGTCAGCACAAAAGTTTGGCAAGAGAATTGGTGTCTCCAACAAAGTTGCGAGAAACAAAAATGTTCTGCAAGAGATCGCTGTCATTAGTCAGGAGTTTAGAACTTCCAACTGAAAGGTATCATTATTCGCGCCCCTTCTGCTTTAGCACGGTTTTCACTAACATAGTTTATCGCACAAAAGTTCACCTTACATTGTACGTAGTTTGACAGAAATTTATCTCTGAAAGGTTATTTAGGTAGTTATTTATAACATTTGTTACAAAAAATATAAGAATTTACACTTAATTCTTACTTTCTTACACTGAATATTCACAAGTATTATGGCTAAGTAAATAATATGTGTGTAATTTGTAAAGGTATATTAGCTATGTAAAGGAAAAGCATTAAGTATTGCTCTTAAATTAATTAAAGAAGTTGTGAACATTATTTTTTTTTTTTTTTTATCCACAACGAGGAAGCTCTTGGCCTGTATCTCACCTGATGGTAAGTGACGATCAGGCCGAAGGTGGAAGCGAGCTTCACCCGGAATTCTCAACCACGGAGGAACTGGCTATCTTAACCTCTTACTCCAAGCGGTGAGTTACTCGAAAGTGAATTATCGTCTGAATGGAGTGTAAGTATTTGGAGTTTAATTAGGATTCGCGTGCAAGTTGTGCTTGAAATGTAAATGCTGTTCTGGGACGTGAATTCCATTATCAGTATGAATTCAACTTACACACAGAAGCAGTCCGTGAAGTTCTTTCGGAGGAAGGTCGCCCGCTCGTGTCCTTCATATGGCTCAGGAGTGCATTAAAAAAGTTGTAGAGCTGAAACAAATTAAACAATAGTTTTTTTTTTTTTTTTCTTCTTTATGGCTCTCGCGGATTGCGTTTAGCCACGACAGAGTTCTTGAGTTTTGCGTTTGNGATTTCTTAGCCCTATAAATCTGCATTCACAGCTAAAAATCGAAATGATCCTCATTGGTTACGCATTTTACTATATTTTTACTACGACCAATAAGAGACAATCAGGGCTTAGGTTGCAATACGAAATACCATTGTGCACTTTATTGTCATACGGTTAAGGTTTAAAACGAAATGTTTCTTTTTCTTCAATCTTTCTTAGTTTTAGGCTGAGTTGCACCACCTTACTTTGACCGTAGCTATAACGGTAACCGGTGCTTTTTGTATGGAGTTTGACAGATTTTTGACGTTTGTCAAAGTTAAAGTAAGATGGTGCAACTCAGCCTTAGAATTTTAATAATAGAATTTGGTTACAAACAAATAGATAATATGTATTTTTTTAATATTGTGTTTTTATACGAGGTCTGTCTGCTTTTTGCTTTGGCGAACTGTCAACATATTCTCTCCTTTGTTTTTTTGTGAAGTTTTGTGATCAATAACCGATTGATTTTGTTTTGTGTTGACCCGTGCTAGTAATTGGACTGTTTGATTGCCTTTTTATTGACCTCCGCGCGATTACTGAACCATGCCTCTCAAAATAAATCTTAATTCTTATATTTACTTACACACTCATCTATACATTGTTAACTGTTTAAGTATTATTTAGTTTGAAGTTTAATTGTTATTGATTTAAGACCTTGTGTAAAGACACTTAATGTGCAATAAAAAATTGAATTTGAAATAAAACTAACTTAATATTATAATATTTACGATAACCAATTACCTGGATCATTGCTATCTAGTGCAATATTTGTATTAAATTGTAATAACGTAGATAAGTGTTTCTTTAAAACGGAAAACAAAAGTTGCTAATGTATTAAAAATAAATAGAAACCTATTAAAGGTTTTTATTTACATTCAAGGATTTAAGAAAGTTATTATGTAGCCAGATCTTACAATAATTGTTTTTAAGCCACAAATATTCCTTAACTCTTTACTAATTAATTCAATAACATATTGTTTCTAAATTATAAGTTCCGAATAAATTAAATACCTATTAAATAAGTAAAATTCGAAAGTAACTGTATGATTTTGTATTTCTCGCCTTAACTAGCTTAACTAATATAATGATATTTACACTCTTAATATCAACAATAATTATAGAAAGGGCTACTTTTTTCTCGGGAAATTGCACAGTTACCTCGGAATGTGCGATACCAATTTTGTGACCCGAGCGCGCAATCGCTAGTTCAAATTTTACACGAAGCCCCATATAATATTTTGTAGCGATTCTTTATTGGGTTTCAAATTTACTAAAATGCGACGTTGCCAAACGAGCGCTACGAATGCGGGTAATAAACAATACTCAATTCTAAACGCTTTACATAGAGCTTGGTTTGCTAGGGCAAACATCTACAGTGGTGCGCCGACGCTGCTTAGACCCGAAACATGAATGAACGGGGGCGTAGCCTAATCGAGCGTGTGTGTGCAAACAATTTAGGCCCTTAAGGTGTCAAGGCGTCCGAGTCCCCGATAGTACACCTAGACGATAGATAACACATGAAGGTAAACAATATAGGCTCTTATGAAAAGGTAATAGGTACTATATTGGAGCAGAACTGTACAGGGTGTTAGGTAAATGGGTAAATGAGCCGACACTAGCCCATGTTAACATAGTCATATAAATGGTATGGTGAAGTCAGAAATTTGATATCATCATTTTATTTTTTTTATTTTTCTTACAAAATATATTTTATAAAATCAGATTTGTATGAAAAATAAAATAATTATTAAATACATTTACCTAACATCCTGTTTAATGTATGAAATATAACCGCAATAATTTATCCACGGATGGCTGCATTCACACTAGGTCTATTTCTTTACTTTCATTTATTTTGCTAGTTATTTATTCTAACAGCATTATAAATTCTAAAAATATTATAAATGCGAAAGTAACCTACTCTGTCTGCTTACATACCTTTTAATGCTTAAATTACTGAACCGATTTAGATGAAATTGGTCATAGAAATTGTTTCAGACCCGGGGCAAACCTAGGATACTTTTATCCTGGAGATTAAATTGAGAATTAGTTTTGGACCCAGGGCAAAACTGGATAGTTTTTATCCCGGTTTTTGGAAGAGGACACATGCGCTACTCTATCTTTGAGACAAATTCACTTGGGCGAAGCCACGGGCAAAAGCTAGTTTATTATGTTTATAGACATGGCAAAACTCCACAAATGGTTCTGACCTACTCTGGATCCCATATTTGAAGCGAAGGTTGCAAGTTCGCTGATGCTATATTTGGAATTGTGCCTAGATGGGTATAGTCTTATAGTACCTCAGTACTATTGAACCCTCAAAAACATATTTAAGTATGTCTTCATACCACCAGATTGATTTAATGAATCAATCAACCAATGATTGATTCATTAAATCAACCTGCGTACCCAAACTAACTGCACGCAGGCATGTTTTAACTTGTGGCGGAGTTGTGGGCTGACACTGTGTAGGTTTGTCGTCGACACGACAAGAAGAAGATTGATCAAAGACTTGAGTCGAGATATAATTAATTTATACAGGCATAATCTAGCTAGAGATTTTCAGCTTGAGCGTGCTCAATTTCATCGGTCTGCTCAAAGATGATTTTTTATAATAATAATATGAAAGTTCACACTTGATTAGTGAGCACGTTCAAAAGGTGACTGAGTTTCTTCTGCCACTTCTACTCAGCACCAGCCCATATGTTGTCCCGAAATGGTGGTAGGGCAAGCTATTTGGGACGTGTTTAAGCTTCCTAGAAAGGGCCTAAGTACCTACTAAATAAAAATTTTCGACTTTGACAAGCCAAAAATCTTAATTCAGAAACCGTGCCTCAATAGATCCCTATGGTCACGAATCTAGCATATAAAGACTTATTACTATTACACACTTTACCTGGAAGAACCTGGATGCGATACGGCCAGCGCAGGACCGGTCGTTATAGAAATCCTAGGGGGCCAGGCCTTTGTCGCAGTGGACGTCATTTGACGGAGTTTCCCTGCGTGATCGAATCAGAAACGAGGAGATCCGTAGGAGAACTAGAGTGACTGACATAGCACACACATAGCTCGAAGAGCTGATGGCCACTGGGGCAGGAAAGTCCTTGAGTGGCGACCACGAGCCGGAAGACGTAGCGTGGGCAGGCCTCCCACTAGGTGGACCGACGATCTGGTGAAGGTTGCGGGAGGTGCCTGAATGCGAGCGACGCAGGACCGGTCTTTGTGGAAATCCTTGGGGGAGGCCTTTGTCCAGCAGTGGACGTCTTTCGGCTGAAACGAACGAACGTCATTTGGCTGAAACGAACGAAATACATTAATATCTGGGATTAAAATACTTACATACCACAAATATGAAATCACCAAACAAATAGGTACCTACATCATTGTTTCCCAACCAAAGTTTTGACATTCTTACGTAACTTGATACGAGAGTCACGACTCACCAGCATAACACATTTATAAACAAAGTCTTGTGACAGAAATCATCTGACGATTGTTAATTAATGGACAGGATACTGGTAACGTTATGTTAAATCAAATCAAAATCTTTATTAGTATGTAAGCCCTTTTCAGGGCACTTGTAGACGTCCCATCCCAAATATAGCTCGCCCTGCCACCACTTCAGGACAATAGATGGGCTGCTGTTGATGTTGAGAAAAAGTGACGGAAGAAAGTCAGTCAATCAATAGATCATCATCATCATTTCAGCCATAGGACGTCCACTGCTGAACATAGGCCTCCCTCAATATTTCCACAATGGCCGGTTGGTGGCGGCCTGCATCCAGCGCCTTCCTGCTACCTTTATGAGGTCGTCAGTCCACGCTGCGCTTTCCGGTACGTGGTCTCCACTCCAGAACCTTGCTGCCCTATCGGCCGTCTGTTCTGCGTACTATGTGCCCTGCCTATTGCCACTTCAGCTTGCTATAAAATTTATTAATTAATCAATAGATACAGGATATAATCACTAGCAGCTGGCCATAATACAATAAGTATTTATTATTGAGAATTACTTTCACAGCCAGCAAAATAACTCCAAACCTGACAATATTTAGAGTAGGCGCACACCGTTGATTTTTAGTTGGCCGATAGTTGTGCCCGATTTTAATGTTTATGAAGAATCGGCCAAATCGAATCGGCGTAGTGTGCGCACTCCCATACATGCCCATACTGATCAACTGCCCGACTAAACTATCGGCCGGCGAAAAATCAACGGTGTGCGCCTACTCTTATAGGTAATTCAAATTGCAGTCAAAAAAGCCATGACCTTACTTTTCAAAATGGCGGAGTTATTTCAAAACCGCGGTAGATTACACCATCCATTGTGTCACCAAATTAAATTGCATTCGCAATAACCATAGCTTGTGAAATTAGGCCTAGATCACTTATTTATGCTAGTTTTTAGGTGAAAGTGCTTCAGAGAGCACCTTAAACCTTCGTCAGTCTGTCCTAAAGAGCAGATGCCGCGAAAACTATACAAGATATAGAAAAACTTGACTATCTCACCTGTAGCAAATTGAATAAGCTTTTTTTTGGTTCATAGTAGCCATGTCACTAGGACGCATAGTTTCCGAGGATTAAGCGAAAAACCGAAAAGTGGTACCTTTAAACCCCCCTCTCCTTGAAGGCTCAAGGGCTAAGGGCGGGGACTTTTGCTATGTTCACCTCCTAACTAGTCTAAATAAAGTCCCGAAGTCAAAAATTGTGTTCCTCGGATTTCCATCTATAATGCTTTATTGACTGGACTATTTTGATATTTGACGTGTGTGTTCACATACTTCACACGATAGTTCAGTTTTGCAGGGTCCTGTATTAGCCTCTGTATAAAAAGTTATCACGTTTGGTTCATAATAATAGCGTAAAAACATAATAAACAGGCAAATTGGGTCATGATGGCCCATCAGATGGATGAATGGCTAAGCCAACTTCCTAAAAATGTTTATCATATCCGTCCTGGCTTCGACCACCCTGTATATTATCTTTGTGAATTCTTAAAGAAACTATTTGCTTAACATCACAATCCTCTTTTTATATTCTTCCAATGACGTAGTTACCTATATATTTCTGTCAAAATTTGATGGCAACTACATTTCAGTAGACGTCATACTTAGTGCAGTCTAAAATCTAAATTCCAAATTATTTAGATCCTCAGTTTAATACAATTACTTTCAGATAATGTAAGTAAAAGTCTGAACAATGCTTTCGATATTGTGACGATTTCTCGTCGTCGTTCCCTAATGTGGACCCTAGGCCCTAGGTCATATGTTACAGAAATCTCTTTTTATTTGTCGCGGAGGAAATGCTTTGCGCACCGTCACCACTGCCGGAGGACAGGGTGGTATGTGGGACTCCCGACGCCCTGAAAAGGGCGCTGCTCCGTCCTGAAAAGGACGGGGTATACCCAATAAAACCTCCTCGGCGGCGTTCCGTCATCGCCCGAGTGGGGGTGTCTCGAGTATCCGGCCGTAGCCTAGACTTTCGCGACGTTGCAGAAATCTTCTTCAGGGTTCGATTCCCGGCCGGCCAGAAATTGAAATGATGAATTTTAATTTCTGTGACGGGTCTGGGTGTTACTATGTATAATATGTATGTATTTAAAAAAAAAAAAAAAAAAAGTATATAAGTAGTATATCCGTTAAGCTAGCACCCATAACACAAGCATTAAGTTGCTTACTTTGGGGCTAGCTGGCGCTGTGTGAAATTGTCCAAAGATTTTAAAAAAAAAAAAAAAAAAAATCTGCGCTAAGTCAGGATACCCAATGAAAATGAACCATAGTTATTCAATTAAATGGTTTGCTGGTCTACCCTCATGCATCCCTCCCTCCTCGTTGCTCCTATAGCGTTAGAGCCAGAGCACAAGAACGGTGCGGTTCTTTCTTCTTCTTATTCGCATCGCTCTTGGCAGAGTGGTCGTGGTCACGTTGAGGCGTTGTTCACATCGGTTGTAGAGGCGGATACAACTCTCCGCACGATCTCCCGCCATCTCTCTCTGTTGGCAGACTGTCTGGTGCAGTCACACACGCCGTCTCCCACTACCGATTTCACTTGGTCGGTCCAGCGCATACGTGACCTGCCACGCGATCGGGTTCCTTCGACATTTCCTTGGACGACCAGTCGCTCTATGGGTTTGTCATCCCAGTCGGTTTGGTTCTTTGAGGTGTCGCTATTAAGCTGACTTAGCTTGTAAAGCCCGGTCCGTAACCGGCCCGGTGTTGCTATCGCGCTCGCACACTCACTGCGGGTGCCAGTCGCACAGTCGCGACAGCAATATAATTACGCGCGAGCGATAAGGATGGGTAGCTTGGGGTCATTGGACAAAATTCTACCTGCTCGCAGACCAGACTATAGTCTTGTAGCTCATTTTTCCACAGCTTAGTACATCGCTAGGGGTGTCGCTAATCAGATGATATTTGCTTCAGGTCATTGCCCCACAGCGAGGACTGGCAGGGCTGCTACCGGCCCGATCTTTGCTACTCGCTGCTGCGCCTGCTCAAAATGACTGTTAGTATCTGACATACTTCTATTTGTGCACTGGTTGGTTGTGGATATATTGCTGACGATACTATGTTTAATACCCTTAGAATTTAGAATTTTTCCCAATCTTGTATCAAAAGGTTAATTAAATATTGACGTCTAAAAATCTGCATGTTTATATGTAACTGTCATAAAGATTAAAAGCCAATTGACCCAGATGAACTACATAGTTATTTGAAGTCCGGCTAGGTACCTGATTGTCTTAATTATTTTCTACCGAAAGACGTCGACTGGCTCAAGAAAAGCCGCCCAAAGATTTCCAATAGGCTCTATGTGCTGCCCCCATATTCCGTAACCAAGTGTAGATCATTTCATCCACTAAGACGCGCCCCACCATTCTTCCGCTAATGTTTTAGTGTTATCGGTACACGCTAAATGATCCATGAGTGCACACGCACACTACAATAATGACGCTCGGATTGCTCGGATCAAACTCCCCGCACCCCGCGCTTTCCTCAACCAGAAATTGGTGGGGCGCGTCTTCGTGGATGAAACGATCTATAATGGTCCCGTTCGAAATCCGAACCCGCGTTCACCGGAACTCGAGTCGGCCAGTCCCATTCCTATCCCTACACCAAATGAGGATTCTTTCCTCATGTCCCGACGCCATGGGCCTAATGTCTGCTCGATTATTTTTGTGTCCTGACCCCAGCACATCCCCCTACCCCACAACTGATGCAATGGAGGGTGAGGGTGAGGGCATGGTGGCCGTAATCCAAGGCCTGCGGGATGCAGGACTCGCCGTCACCGTGATGGGTGGCCGGCCGGCGAGGCGCTCCAGCGGTACTGGTGAGATCATTGAAGATTCAGACACCCCGCAGATCACAGACTTTTTGTCGGGCGATAGTTGGGTCGCGCTGTTAATCAGTATGGACTTGACATGTATGAAAGTGCGCACATTACTTTGATTTGATATCTCCCGATTCTTCATGCAAATTAGAATCCGGCCTCACTATCGGCCGACTAAAAGTCTATAGTCTGAGGAGACAGGTTTAACTCTCTCTCAATAAGCTTACTGGGTTGAAAATGGCTGTGAGAATAAGGCTAGTACGCCTTTACTTATCATGTCTCTATTTCCTTTACACGCTTAAACCACTGAACTTAGACAGAAAGATCGTCGTTTTATCCCGGTTTTTGGAAGGGGGACACGCGACAAAGAATTTCAGCGAGAACCCAAAATTCACGCGTGAAACGTCGGACAAACACGAAATATAGGACGTCAGTTTTCTCATTATTGGCGATATGAAAAGTTATGTTTTTTTGTCTGAATAATATTTTGGCAGGCTTAGACTGGGTTGCACCATCTTACTTTAACTTTGACAAACGTCAAAAGACTGTCAAACTCCATACAAAAAACACCTGTTATCGTTATACACTGGTCATCATAAAAATCGACCCACCCGCGACAAGCACTTTCAAACGTATGCATCCCCACTTCCCACCAATATTACTATACTATATTACCATTTAAAAGCCTAGTTCAAAGCTTCATTTCATTAAAGGAAAGGTTTTTACCCCAAAAATGTGTCTGTAGAAGAATCCAGAGTCACTTCTTCAAAAAATAGGTAGTTACGCTTGAGCCAACTTTTATGGCTATAAAACTGTTAAGTTGGGATTAATCGCTATCCATCTGTTAAAGAGGACACGTGAGATTATTATTTGGTTTTATAACCATAAAAATTGGTCTAATTGATCCCAGAGGTGAGCCCAAAGTGAGGTCTTTTTTCAAGTTTTTCAAGTCACATTTATTGTATATGTTAATCGTTTATTAGGAAATTAAATGTGATTTTCTTTAAGGATATTTATTGGGCTTTCAAATGACACCAATATTGTTGGGGCACCATGATTGTGTCAGTAAAAACGAGTTTTCCTTTAAAACGTAGGTGGGCCGATTTCTGTGATGACCAGTATAGTTACGGTCAAAGTTTGGTGGTGCAACTCAGTCTTAGATTCACAGTTCACACGGGCCAAACGGGCAAAAGCTAGTTTACTTCAAGCGGACCAGCATTTCTGTCATTACTTCCTTCGCATAAGACATTCTAAATCTCCCTACTTATAGCCGTCATTCCTTCATTCCAATCACCATACTGATAGTGTTTGGTCCTCTTAACATTATCTCACTTCCAGCCCTCAAGATATCCACCCCAGTGACACACGCCAAGTCCACAGTAGAAACAAGCATGAGCGCCTTACCATACGCATCTGTTATCCCCGTTTGTAGATTTTGAAAATTCTTGCTCCAGTTCAGGCAACAATAGCCGAGAAACGCGGGTTCGAACCCCGTCGCCGCTGGATTATTTTTGGTGAGCGAAGCAGCGGGCGAAAAGCTAGTTTACCTTACCATCATCTCTCTTCCAGCCCTCAAACTGTCCACCCCAGTGACCCACGCCAAGTCCTCAGTAGAGACGAGTACGAACGCCTTACCGGCTGTTGCGTCCATCGACACTTCAGCAGATTTGATTTTGAAATTTCTTTCACCAGGCTACATTATGTTATTCCTGAGTAACATGTCAATGCTTATGTTAATCTACTCGCGAAGTTGACCAAATAGTGTGGACACGCATTTCACCTCTCATCGGACAATCTCGCGCCTCATCTCGTCCGACTTTCGATTGTTATCTGTAAATGCCAGAGTCAAAGAGTTTGAGGCGTTCTGACGTTGAACACGAAGTCTGACTAAACTACTCGGCTGACTTCGAAACTTCACCTTCAGCTTTGCAATGAAGGGAAGTCGAACCTTAACTTCGAACTCCTCCCAAGTTCTTCTGATTAATTTTGTTGCGGGTCCAATGACAGCTTAACTTTCCCCCGGGACAAACTTGACCTTCACTGGTTAGGTTTTTTGGCGATCAAGCTGTAGATCCTGGCTACACAGGAGTTGCAGCGGTGGGAACGAGAGGTGGGAATTGTCCCGTGGCTTCGAAACTTCGTCGAAGCGAGCAGTGTAGCGAAGGCAATAAACTTCTGTCCCTTCCAGCCCTCAAGCTGACCACCCCAGTGACCCACGCCAAGTCCTCAGTAGAGACGAGCACGAACGCCTTACCGGCTGTCACATCCATCGACACTTCGGCGCAGATATGCGATGACAGATACACTAGTAGCTACCAGGTAAGTATACTTTTTACTACTACATAATTGTATTTGACGTTCGTTCGTTCGTTTCAGCCGAAAGACGTCCACTGCTGGACAAAGGCCTCCCCCAAGAATTTCCACAAAGACCGGTCCTGCGCCGCTTGCATCCAGGTACCTCCCGCGACCTTCACCAGATCGTCGGTCCACCTAGTGGGAGGCCTGCCCACGCTACGTCTTCCAGCTCGTGGTCGCCACTCAAGAACTTTCCTGCCCCAGTGGCCATCAGCTCTTCGAGCTATGTGCCCCGCCCACTGCCACTTGATTTTAGCAATTCTGCGAGCTATGTCAGTCACTCTGGTTCTCCTACGGTGACGTTACTATTACGGTTACGGTGACGTCTGGTTATTTGACGTTAATAAACAATAATTCTAAGACACAACTTTGCTTGCTGACTTCGGTCCATTCTAGCCCTGTAAACTGAGTTAATTTTTGGCTGTAAAATTCATTTTATTGGGTTTGAAAATAACAAATTGCCTGTCGATTGAGTTCGCAACTTGCAGGGCATATGCATCAGAGACAATATTATCGATTTTAAAAGGAAATCCTGTAGATTTGTCGTCAGTTCCAGCTGGTGACGTCAAAAAATTCCATCTATGGTAGAGTCCCGTTTCTACAACTCACGATTTTTGCCCTACCAGCGCTGCGAGACAAACATTTGGCAAGTGCTAAAAAAACTTGACCTTCACTGGTTGGGTTTTTATTGGCGGTCAAGCTGTAGGTCCTGGCTACACAGGAGTTGCAGTGGTGGGAACGAGAGGTGGGATTGTCCCGTAAAAAAGTGCTGAGAAAAAGAATCACCTTATGTCTCTATTTAACCGCCTCTTTGGTCTATCAGACGCAGAGGTCCCGGGTTCGATTCCCAGTGGGGGACAGATTTTTCTGTTTGGTTTGGTTGGTGGTAGGGCTTGTTCTAAGTCCGCCTGGCTAGCTACCATCATCTTAACTAAGTCTGTCGCCATAACAACAGCATTGTTGTGTTCCGGCAGTTAGAGGTAAGATAGCTAGTTCCTCCGTGGTTGAGGATTCCGGGTGAAGCTCGCTTCCACCTTCAGCCTGATCATCACTTACCATCAGGTGAGATACAGGCCAAGAGCTTCCTCGTTGTGGAAAAAAAAATGAAGCAATTTATAAAATAAAATATTATGAAAAATGCTCACTAAACTCGATCACCTTTGTCTACCGGTTTAAACATAGAAAAACACCTGTAGGGGTAACAATATTTTCAGAAGCAAGATTCTTTACTTGCGGTTGTATTTCAGCTAGCCCACTGCCACGCCAGGCCGTCTTCCCCACCGGTGGAGATAGCAGAGTTCCCGCCACAGCGGCCAGAGCCGTGCCGCAGTGAGTTAGTGTTGTCTATCTATCGATAGTTTAAAATCTGATGATATATCGATTACGTGGTACAGAAAGTGGCCAAAAAGTTGACAACACAACCTTATTCCAATATTGTAACAAAGACGTGATGCGAAATTTTTAGCTACTTTGGGTGTCACGAACTTTTCGACTGTACTATTTTATAATGTGGTACATCCCATAATCAATACTATCGAATATCGATGATATTGGACACCATAGTGTTCAATGTTCATATCGTCAGTGGAAAGGAAAAAAGACTAAAGCGCCAAAACCGTGCTTGTGGGAAATGAGGATCAAAGTCTTTTTTTTACGAAAAAAATTCGTATCTCTTTTGATATTAATGTTAAACAGTTCTTTTAAAATGATATCGTGTTCTTGATTTTTGGCCTATATTTTAATGAAAACACCAGGTTTGTAGCTCTTTTAGATCGTAAAATAGGTGTCGCTTTAGAAAAAGAATTATGAAAATTCATTAAATGTTAGTCAGGGTAAAACTGCTAACCTCCATTTATAATCAAATATCCAGCAACCAATAAGTGCTGAATAGTTTAAACAACCTTTTTGATAAAAGAGAAAAAATACTTAGTGAGATACAGCTTAATAAGTGAGTCGAAGATAAATTACTAAACTACAAAATAAGATAGTCGTATGCGCCAGCGAAAAAATGCGTAAGAAGCGATATTATCCATGGAGCCTACATGAATATTTGCTTACTTACGCAGACCCTATAGAACGAATATAAGCAAATGTTACTAAACTCTAACTACATTAAACGTTTTGAGCAATAGTAATGCTTAAAGATTGAATAGGTATTATGTTTTATGACAAAAAATGCTTAATTTATCCTAATATCATACATAATTTGATTGTCATTACTTCTAACCGGTTCACTCCCGGAACCTACTTCTAACCGGGTTCGGGAGTGGTAGGTAATTACTATATTTTGAATTATAGTGAACAAACGTAGGGACACTTAACAATTTTAATGACCACCACTAACCACTGGAGGGAACCTTTGGTGGGTGGTGACTTACGCGGTCACCACCATGTCCATCTCACCAAAAAGCCAAACCACACACTGATAGTCTCATCGACGGACTCGAGCATAACCGGCGACAATGTCATAAGACCGTCAGAACCACTTTTGACTTCAAAATCAAAGGTCTACATAAATGATAATCTAAAGGCCCAAAATAAGA